CCACCTCCACCCCCCTCCCCTCCCCTCTATCCCCCACGTTCAGAACACGGATCACATCGTGGAAGCCTGGCGAATGTTCCACAGCATCGCGGGCCAGGCCGAGTATGTTGCCAGTTTGGCTCAGTCCCTGGCAGAGCTGGTGGAGTTTGAGGTGGAGTACGAGAAGTTTGCCGCTGTGGAGGTCTCCATGTCGGGGAAAGGGGAGTCGGAGGTCAAAGGGTCATCGGTGAGTACATGGGGACGTTTTTTGGCGGGGATTCATGATATTACAATAGTTGGGTGTGTTGTTGCTGTCGAGATGTTTGCAATTGAGGTCACCTGGTTGTCATGATATTCGATACTTGTACTCGAATATAGTGAAGATGTTTGCGATTGAGGTCACCTTGTTGTCATGATATTCGATACTTATACTCGAATAGTGATGATGTACGATACAAAAATAAACACTTCCCTTCCCTATGAAATCAATATGGCTGAATGTTTGCTCTTGTCTTGTGCTCGTGTGACTTAGATCAAACATCAAGAATACATAACATCGTAACACGAGTTTCAGGGGTGAAATTAGAGAAAAAATGGTTGCCAATGTTTGGTAACTCCAATAGGTAAAGAGTCCTTGAAAACAGAAAAATGACATATTTTGTGCCTTTAATCAATTTTTTTTTTTAAAGTAAAGTTCACATGGAAATGTGTTTTTAATTATGTGGACATAAAAGAGGTTGAGCAAAAAAAACCAAAAGTGCAATAAAATTTGCCAAGCTGGCGGAAAAATGCCCTTTTCTCCAGTTTGGTTATTTTGACGAATGCCCGATTTATCCACAATACCTCACATTTGTCCTTGTATAGTATAGTATATTGTGTCGATAGTGCCGTAAAACATCTACCCAATCAATCAAAACAGTACTGTATTTCTCTGAGAGATTGAATTGTTATTGAAGCTGCGTAAAAAGAAAATATTTTGGTGGCTTTCATGAAGTATGTGTTGGGTTTGGGCTGAAAACACTTTCTGCATTTGATAGCCGGTAACCATGAGCATTTATAAGCAAAATTTCTCCATTTTTTTTTTTCCGAAATGTCGGTCAGCGGGTTTTACATCTCAACCCGTCATATATTGTCGCTTTTAAGCACAAGGGGGCTATCCCGAAAAATGCTGTTTTGAGAAAATCGAAGGTAAAGTTTTTGCCCCTTGTTCAGTTTCTTTAAAAGACAAGGAGAGTTTTCTCTATAACAAAACA